GCCATCTGCCTCCCAGCCAGTCTCCCTCTCATATACCATTTTCCAGTAGTATGACTCTTTCCCAAACCGTCGTGTAATCACTGCTGCTATTCATGTTGCTGCACAGAGTGTATATGTTTTTATGCACCCCATACCCATCCTGTGGGCGTATAAAAAGATTAAGAGGTATATAATTGGTCCAGGGACTGGACTCCAAAATTTTATAGCTGAGCAAATTTACAGAGGGAAGATCCCAAAATTTTCAAAGGTAATGAAACCCAATTACAAAGGTAATAACTCCAGGTAGGTCTGGTCACAAACATGACAAGTTACAAAGGTATTTACAGATTACAGAGGTACATAATGGGTCCAGGACTGGGCCCCCAAAGTTTTGATAGCTGAACTAGGTACAAAGGTAATGAGCTCACAAGTTACAAAGGTAATGAATTCTGTAGAATGGTTACTTACGTTTATACATGGCTACAATCATGAACAAATTATAGTGTAATGAGCAATTCACACTTCCACACCCGGTCACAACTGTAATAAGTTATTGGTGCAAATATTGATTGTTGAGACACACACACACACACACACACACACACACACACACACACACACACACACACAGGATTCGTTTAAGACTCTGTATACCATTTATGTCAGGCCCATACTGGAGTATGCAGCACCAGTTTGGAATCCACACCTAGTCAAGCACGTCAAGAAATTAGAGAAAGTGCAAAGGTTTGCAACAAGACTAGTCCCAGAGCTACGGGGATTGTCCTACGAAGAAAGGTTGAGGGAAATCGGCCTGACGACACTGGAGGACAGGAGGGTCAGGGGAGACATGATAACGACATATAAAATTCTGCGCGGAATTGACAAGGTGGACAAAGACGGGATGTTCCAGAGAAGGGACACAGACACAAGAGGTCACAATTGGAAGTTGAAGACTCAGATGAATCAAAGGGATGTTAGGAAGTATTTCTTCAGTCATAGAGTAGTCAGGCCGTGGAATAGCCTAGAAAGTGACGTAGTGGAGGCGGGAACCATACATAATTTTAAGGCGAGGTATGATAGAGCTCATGGAGCAGGGAGAGAGAGGACCTAGTAGCAATCAGCGAAGAGGCGGGGCCAGGAGCTGTGAATCGACCCCTGCAACCACAAATAGGTGAGTACAAATAGGTGAGTACACACACACACAACCTCAAATAGGCGAGTACACACAGACACACACAGACACACACACAGACACACACACACACACACACACACCACACACACCACACACACACACACACACACACACACACACACACACACGCACACACACACACACACACACACACACACACACACACACACACACACACACACAACACAACACAGAGTTTAGTTTAATATCTTTATTATGCACCCCATACCCATCCTGTGGGCGGTAGTCAAAAGATTACAGGGAGCGCTTGAGGTTCCTAAACCTTTATTCCCTGGAACGCAGGAGGGAGAGATACATGATTATATACACCTGGAAAATCCTAGAGGGACTAGTACCGAACTTGCACACGAAAATCACTCACTACGAAAGCAAAAGACTTGGCAGACGATGCACCATCCCCCCAATGAAAAGCAGGGGTGTCACTAGCACGTTAAGAGACCATACAATAAGTGTCAGGGGCCCGAGACTGTTCAACTGCCTCCCAGCACACATAAGGGGGATTACCAACAGACCCCTGGCAGTCTTCAAGCTGGCACTGGACAAGCACCTAAGTCAGTTCCTGATCAGCCAGGCTGTGGCTCGTACGTTGGTTTGCGTGCAGCCAGCAGCAACAGCCTGGTTGATCAGGCGCTGATCCACCAGAAGGCCTGGTCACAGACCGGGCCGCGGGGGCGTTGACCCCCGGAACTCTCTCCAGGTAAACTCCAGGTACATAATGGGTCCAGTGACTGGACCCCAAAGTTATGATAGCTGAACTAGTTACAAAGGTAATGAACTCCAGGTAGATCTGGTCACAATCATGGCAAGTTACAGAGGTAATGAATCAGCTTCACTCCTATACATGGTTACAGTCATGAACAAATTACAAAGTAATGAACCACTGATACGTCCACACCTGGTCACAATTGTAATGAGTTATAAATACAAATATTAAGTGGGTCATACACACACACTAGCGCGCGCTCGCACACACATACACACACGAGGGCGCACGCACGGACATGTGCACAGTAGCAATCAGCGAAGAGGTGGGGCCAGGAGCTGTGACTCGACCCCTGCAACCACAAATAGGTGAGTACAAATAGGTGAGTACGAGCGTACAAATATATGCATACACAGCTGACCATAGCATGTTTTTGAACGCTCTCACCCCATAGGCCCCTGGTGAGTCAGTCTGAGATAGAGAGCAGAGAGAGGCAGGGCGGCTGATGGTGCTTACCATACTTTCCGTTATAATTATACGTACTAACCAGCCTACGTGAGTGTTCTTACCCCCATCCACGTTATCGAACCCACATGACATACCTTCCTGCCATCTATCTGCCAGCCAGTCTGCCTGCCAGCCAGTCTACCTTCCTGCCAGTCTATCTGCCAGCCAGTCGCCTGCCAGGCAGTCTACCTGCCTGTCAGTCTGCCTGTCAGCCAGTCTACCTTCCTGCCAGTCTACCTGCCAGCCTGCCAAGGATATTAACAAGTTCCAACCCTACTTAGCAGATGTGAGATTCAGCAAGATAGTTGCTTCGCATGGGCAGTAGGCATGTTGTACTGCTCCTTCTTTCTCATGTTTGTAATATACCAAGATTGTGCGTCTGAGCATAATAAAGAATCTCTCGGGCTGACGACTCAGGGCAAGGTCAGGTCAAGGGAAGAGTCAGAAGACCGCTAAGGTCAGAAGTGAGAAGATAGTCAAGGTAAGGTCAGGGGGAAGAGGGATAAGAGACGGGTAAGGTCAGGTCAAATCACCGTTGTTATTATTATTATTATTATTATTAATGTAATAATGTTTGTTGAATAAGACAATATGTTAACGCACTCAGCTCATACACTGAGGTCCGGGGGTCGAACCCCTGTACGGGCGGAAACATTAGGATGTGGTTTCCTTAAGACACCTGCTGTCCATGTTCACGTACCAGTAAATTAGGTACCTGGGTGTTAGTGGACTGGTGTGGATCGCATCCTGGGGACAAAATTGTCCCAATTTGCCCGAAATGCTTGTAGTATGTCACTGATGTCAGCTATGGTCTGTACACCTTGTACATGTACTTGTAGTAATAAAGATGTGCATCTAATGGGACATTTTATTGTCACAATAAAATAGCGTATTAGTTGTACATGTCTCTTTTTACTTAACATTATTATTATTATAATTATATAAACCAACAGAGACGTACAATAGTGGAACAGAGAAACCAGGGAACAGAACGTGTGTGGCGGCGACGGAGCGTCTGGCAACAACTGCGATACGTTGTGGCGAGAACAGTAGTGTTGCGCAGCCTAGGAGGGAGTAGTGTGACGGTAGGTGTTGCTGTGGGTACATCACTAGGACCTGGTAGGTGTTGCTGTGGGTACATCACTAGGACCTGGTAGGTGTTGCTGTGGGTACAGGACTAGGACCTGGTAGGTGTTGCTGTGGGTACATCACTTAGGACCTGGTAGGTGTTGCTGTGGGTACATCACTAGGACCTGGTAGGTGTTGCTGTGGGTACATCACTAGGACTGGTAGGTGTTGCTGTGGGTACATCACTAGGACCTGGTAGGTGTTGCTGTGGGTACATCACTAGGACCTGGTAGGTGTTGCTGTGGGTACATCACTAGGACCTGGTAGGTGCTGTGGGTACATCACTAGGACCTGGTAGGTGTTGCTGTGGGTACAGGACTAGGACTGGTAGGTGTTGCTGTGGGTACATCACTAGGACCTGGTAGGTGTTGCTGTGGGTACATCACTAGGACCTGGTAGGTGTTGCTGTGGTTACATCATTAGGACCTGGTAGGTGTTGCTGTGGGTACATGACTAGGGCCTGGTAGGTGTTGCTGTGGGTACATCACTAGGACCTGGTAGGTGTTGCTGTGGGTACATCACTAGGACCTGGTAGGTGTTGCTGTGGGTACATCACTAGGACCTGGTAGGTGTTGCTGTGGGTACATCACTAGGACCTGGTAGGTGTTGCTGTGGGTACATCACTAGGACCTGGTAGGTGTTGCTGTGGGTACATCACTAGGACCTGGTAGGTGTTGCTGTGGGTACATCACTAGGACCTGGTAGGTGTTGCTGTGGGTACATCCTAGGGCCTGGTAGGTGTTGCTGTGGGTACATCACTAGGACCTGGTAGGTGTTGCTGTGGGTACATCACTAGGACCTGGTAGGTGTTGCTGTGGGTACATCACTAGGACCTGGTAGGTCCTAGTGATGTACCCACAGAGAAGAAACTATGCAGTTTTAGGAAGTTTGATTCAATTATTTAAATGGGGTACACTAATTGTCTTGACAAATTTAATGTCAAGATTAATTAGAGTACCCTCATTATTAGTGTCAGATTATATCAGTCCAATAATTATTGGTACTCACATAATCGGGACTATATATATACAACTGACTTAGTTGTGTGAACAGGAAAAAAATGATCAAACTTAAATATTCAAAATGTGAGTGTTTCCATGTGTCAGCTGTATGACTCTTGTAGGTTTAGCGCTTATTATAATAATTCCCTTGTGCCCAACAGAAAACATGATAGCACAGCAATCTTATAATACTAATATAATAACTGAGAGATTTTTGGTTAATTAGGCTTGGTTAAAGCCCATATATATGAGGGCCGTTAACCTTTAATAACATGTCTGAACAATATATGTACACCATCAGTCAAGGATATTTTGATTTCCAGTGCATATACACTGAAGATACAATCTTGAGTGTATAAAAGGGTTGTGTGTGAGTGGAGGAAAGGAGGGCGGGGGGGGGGGAGGGGAGACAGAAAGGGGTGTTAGAGTTGCTGTTTAACTCAATATAAAGCTGGTACTGACTTACCTTCAGTAGTTGTATATGTTACACTCCTTCCTTAACTACCCTGGCATGTTGCTGCTTCCACTTATAATTTAAATTATATATTTAACGTAATGAATACCGACGATATTGGCAAAATATGGCGTGAGTTAGAAGTTTTACTCAGCTGGGAGACGGTTATAGACATATTTTGGCCATACTGGAGGGATTCTTGCCTAGTACAACCTAACATATAACACAAACATCCATTTATTAACCTCAAACTTACATCCTACGCTCTCTCTAACATCAAACATACTCTAACAATACTCCCACACATCCTAACTTCACTCACAGCTACTTATCATAAGAGAAATATCATAAACATCAAGAGAGAGAGAGAGAAGATAAGTTGGCATCTTGTGTGTAGCAGCCAATAAGAATTAACACAAACGTATAGCGAGACAACGTGGACGCCCAGCCTAGTTCACACTTTTGACGTAGTATTCGTCATGGGGTTCGTATAAAACGTTCCCCTTTTTGCGGAATGTTATGTTGGTAAGTTAAGCACAGGTACATGTAAGTACAGTTATTAAACGGATAAGTACAGTTATCCAATAGAAATAAGTTTAGAGCCAAAAGATGTTTGATGTAAGTAGCCACGAAGGGAAGGGAATGGTTTTTTTTTTTGTTTTTTTTTAGCTCACTTATTTGATCTTATTCCTAGTATATCTCCTTTATAGTATAATAATAAAGTATTAAAAGGACCCCAATGGAAATAAATTACTGACTTGTTTGGGTTATCCAAGGTTCTCTACACATATACTATGTATGCTATGCTATGTAACCATATTTATATATACCTAAATAAACTTACTTATCATACATAATGTAAATTACTCACCAAGATAACCCAAAAAAGTCAAAGTGACGTATTTTGATTGGGGTCCTTGTAATATTTATTTTAATTTTAACAGGTAAAACAAGTAGACCAGCTGTGGGAATTGGAGGAAACACTCCCTTTCCTTGGATCAAACTTGATTGCCTCTCATTCGAAGGATCTGCAGAATCCTTAAGGATTTAACAAATTAATACAACTTCTTGTATGTATGTATGCGTGTGTATATATATATATATATATATATATATATATTATATATATTATATATATATATATTATATATATCACATGTACAAATACATATATACACATGCCTGGGTCAGGAGCTGTGATTCGACCCCTGCAAAACATATAGGTGAGTACACGTACTTACATACACTTATGCACAAGTTACACATCTGCACATGCATACATATAAAAAAATTACATGTAATACACAAATATTAAATGCATATATATGCACAAAAATACATACATGTATATTTATGAAAGTGACTATGTACGAAATTCTTAACACATATACTGTATGTATATATTTTTTTTATTTTGCTGGAATTTTGGCCCATTCCTAGAAATTAATGCAGCTTTACTAAGGTTTTTTTTTAAACATGAACTTTATCACAGACGAAGCGAAATAAATGGGTTTTTAATTAACATGCAAAAAGTATTGGACACAGCAATTTGCCAATATTTGTTTGTGGGTGGAGTATTAAGTTTCTGGGTGGCAGTATTAAGCTTCATGGGGGGCCCAGTTTAAAGCTTCTGGGTGGAGTAAGGCTTCTGGGTGGTTGTGTTAGGCTCGTTGGTGGAAATATTAGGCTTCATGGGTGGAATTTTTGGCTTATGGGTGGCAGTTTGGCTTCATGGGTGGTAGTTTTGGCTCCGTTGGTGGCGTTTGGCTTATGGGTGGCAGTTTTGGGTTCGGGGTGGCAGTATTGGGCTTCAGGGGTGGCGTATTGGCTTTTGGGTGGCGTTTTGGCTTCGGGTGGCGATTGGGCTTCTGGGTGGCAGTTTTAGGTTTCATGGGTGGCAGTATTGGTTCAGGGGTGGCAGTATTGGGTTTCATGGGTGGCAGATTAGGCTTCAGGGGTGGCGTTAGGCTTCAGGAATTTACCCAGTGGGCAAAAGATACTGGTGTCGCCCAGAGGAAGTTATTTTCCCACTGCCTACAAAAAGTTTAAACTCGCCCTACATTAACAAGCTTGTTAACTCCCCCTACATTCAAAAAGCTTGTTAAACTGCACTCTTAGTTTTTAAAAATCACCACCCCATAAAAGCTTAACCACCACAACATTAACAAGCTTTTAACTCCAGACATTCAAAAAGCTTGTTAACATAAACAGCTTGTTAGCTCACGACCCTCGTATATTAAAATAATAAATGTAAAATCTTTAAAAATATTTTTTCCCTGATAAATGATAATGCACCCCCCAGTAATTCCCTTGTAAAACGGAAGGTATACGTATAAAGGGGTCGTATTGGTGGAGGGTTGTGATTCACTTCTTTCCTCCCTCACCACGGGTCACTACACTGCTCATTCAAAAAACTGTCTTCACTTTAATACTATGGGGTAGTCGTGGTTGACTGATTTAGGGGGCCCTGAACCTAAATTTTTATAGGGGCCCTTCACAACCTTTCAACATTGGACCCAAAATTTTTAAGAATGTGGATTAAAGTCGCTTCTGGGGCCCCTCCGGGTTTTGGGGGCCCTGAAGTTATGGGGCCTGAAAGTTCTCATTTTTCCACTTAATTACCTTGCCCTAATATATCGCATTTGCTCTGTTTCGAAAGGGAAGTCCAGGATCTTTCCTTAATTAATGGGACAATTGTGTTGTAGAGGTCTGGCTGTGCCCAGACCTTACAACAATTGGGTTTAGACAGGTCGCTCCTGTCTGTGTAACTTGGACCACTACGACAAGGTTTCCCGGATGCTCTAGAAGACAAAAAAATGCAATGTAATTAATATACACAGATTTTTTTAAAAGCCCCTTTGGCAAGGTACCCTGGGGTAAAAGCTCACAAAATACGTGATAAAGGAATAAGGAAAATTTGGTGAGGATCATAATTTCCTGACAAACAGCAGAAACACAAAGAGTAGTAGTCAACAGAGTAAAGTCTGGGCAGCTACGGTTGACAAGCTTTGTTCCACAAGGACAATATCGTCCCTCTTGTTCCCCATCCCCATATTGACTAGGATGTAAGCCACGCACCGTGTCTCCTTTGCAGATGCACCTGAGTTGCATAAGTGTCTTCTACTTTAGACACTGCAAGGCTCCCGGCGGAATAACAAATTTTAAATGGGCTGCAGAAAACAAAATGAAATTCAACGATGAGAAATTTAATTACTCCCCATATGGAAACGTGAGGAAATTAAAACTTTATCGGAGTAAAAAAACCTTCCCAAACCCCACAATTTTAATGAAAAAATAATGTCAAAAACCTGGGGGTGGTCATGTCAGAATCTCACCTTCAAGGACCATAACATTTATCAATCCATTGCTAGAGAAAGAAGGATGGGTAATGAGAACCTTCAAAAACCAGGGGATGCCAAGCCCATGATGACAATCTTAGGTCGCTTTTTCTATCTAGGCTGAAATTTTTGCGCACACTAACAGCACCTTTCAAAAGTTTAAAATGTTTTTTATGCACCCCCTACCCTCCTGTGGGGGGTAGCAAAAGATTACAGAGGTAATAATTGGTCCAGGGATGGACCCAAAATTTTTATACTTTAGCAAGTTCAGAGGTAATGAACTCATAATTTACAAAGGGAATGAACTCCAAATTTTAAAAAGGGAAGACTCAGGGAGGGCTGTACAATTATGACAAGAAAAAAGGTTATTTTTAGATTCGAGGTACGTAATGGGTCCCGGGACTGGGCTCCAAAGTTTGATAGTAATAGGTAAAAAGGGAATGAATCAAAATTCAAGGTAATGAATCCCGTAAGAATGGTTTTCTTACGTTATTTTGGCTACAATCATAAACAAATTATAGTGAAAATGAGAAATTCCCAATTCCACACCGGGTCAAAATGTAGTGAGTTATTGGTTAAAATATTGTTTGTTGGCCACCACACACAACACACACAACCCCCAAAAACCCAAACACACACACACACACACACACAACACAAACCAACACCCCCACACACCACACACACAACACACTCGTACCACACACCAACACATCACAACACACTCAACACATCCCACCCACAAACCCACACAAACACACACACACACACACACCACACACACGTACACACACACACATACATGCACCACCAACCTTTTACAAATACACAAAAAAAAAAAAAACCACACGCACCACACACAAACACACACACACACACAACACACAAGGAGCTTGGCCCTCGACCCCCAATTTTCAACTAGGTGAGTGCACACACACCCCAAACAACACACACACACACACACCACACAACACCACACCACACACACACACCCACACTTGGGGAAATTTTATTTACAGTAGAAAAGTCAGGGTATTTCTCCAAAATGGTCTGTAATATACCACTGTGGATAAAATCTTAGCCTTCTTGAACACTTCGATGGATTGTTTCTAAATTTATTAATTTTATCGCACTCCGTACATAATGAGAAGGGTGTGACAAAAGTCATCTGGCAAAGTTTACATTCTTTTTGGTTACATTGGTGGGGGTGATTTAACCTGCCAAAGTATTGAAACCCCAGCCGGGCGGGCGTAGTGAATCTAAGAGTCTGTTATTTTTTTGGGGATGCCCCCATAGACATGTGGCCCCTCCTGCATGATAAAATGATGTAGGGACCACTGGTGTAAATCTCCCTGGTTTTAAAGTCAAAAAAATTCAGTTAAAGTTCTTTTGTATTATTTTTTAAAAACTATACGACAAGCCAAGATTGACTCTCCCTTTTTGAAAGAACAGCTTACCCAAATTTATCGTTTATCTGATCTGAAGCCCCAATGTGAGATGGAATCCACAGCATGTGCACTCTGCTCCATGTCCAAAAATCTTACCATCCCTGGTCTGGTTTCGACACAAATCCCCAAATTTTTTGCTTAAAAATTTGAGACATTTTGGTGACGGAATCAGTTACAATTAAACTTCAATCTTGTTAAATAGTTCATTTCGTGCAAGGAGTAGGGCAAACAGTTCTGTCTGAAGGGTAGAGGCCCAATTTTTGTGCGGCCCCAAATTTTTTTAAAGAGAGCCATCATCTGTCGACAACGCAGCACAAAAACCAGCTCCCACCAGTGGATTGGTGAACGAACCTAAAACGAAAA